GCTATGCTCTGCGAGTCATTGCTGTGCACTTGTGCTTAAAGCACACCCAGAGCCATAGGGCATAGTGCCGCCAGATAACTTCTGATTGGTTCCTTGCCACGAGACAGGCATCTAACTTCTAGTGACTAGGACAAGGTCATGGCAAGCACGTGTTACTGTCATGGCTGCAGAAATGGGGAGCTGGTCCCTTCAGTTGGTGGCCCAAAAGAAAAAGCCTGCTACATTCAAATGCCAGCACCCCACCCCACCCCCACCCCCCAGCAGAAGTCAATGTGGAGATGGTCAAAGACTACCGAGAAAGCAACTGAGGAGCACGGTTGTGGGGAGGGGCTGGTGAATCATGAAGTCTGTTTGGACTGGCTACCTCCGTGAATGTTAAATTACCAGAGCAGATCCCCCTTCTCCACTCTAAAGTTTACGGATCGCTGGCATGACTCTTGCAGCAGGGTAAGCAGGAGGTGAAAGACCCTCACAGGGTGGGACCCTGGGGTGAACACTCGGGAGCAGCGACCCCAGTCACCAGGCAGAAGCAAGAACTTGATTCGAACAGCAAGAGGCTTTGTTATTCAGTACCTCGCATCAGGGCCCAGCACAGAAGCAGAGGAGCTGGACCCTGAGCTGAGGGCTTCTTAAAGGCAAAAACTGCAATTGGATAGGGTATGGGGTGAGCAAGGGTAACAGTTCTGATTGGCTCGTTCCAGGTGGCTTGTTCAGGGCAGTTACATCTTCATCTCTGGGAAGCATTTGTTCTTTAACTTTAGCGGCTCTTTCCTGTTAATGGTCATAGATTTAGGTTCTCACTATCTGCAAAGAAAACATCTTAGGCTGGGGTCCTTCAGGATCTCATTGCATAGTGGGCAAATGAGATGCCATCCAGTCAAAAAGAGAAGCTTTTAAAAAGGGCAGATCATAACGTTGGAGACCATAAACTACAGAGTTTCCATGGTTACTTAAGGTCATACAAAGTACAGAGTTAGTCAGTAACTATATATTTTAAAGGAGATACATTTGACTGAGATAAGACAGAGCATGGGCTTGCAGGGTTACTGAGTCACAGAGTCTTTGTCAGTTATCTCCCACTGGGGAATCTTTACAACCAGCAGGGCACCTTTACAACCAGCAATTAACAAGGGAATGCTAACAGGAGTGATGGCTAGTCACCTTGGCTTCTCTGAGATCAGGGGATCAGGCTCCAGTCATGGCACTCCTGATTTAAAGAGTTAAATTTTCCTTTATCATTAGAGGTTCCCTAAGTTTTTAAACTTTTATTAATTTTTGATCCTTCAAAAGCAATGGAAGGCCCACTTTCAAAACTGCCACCCTGACAATTAGGCGAAGGGGGGTATTATTTTTAGTTAAATGAGAACAGATATGATGGGTTAAGCCTCGAAAAGATAAGAAACCAAGAAACCAGAGCAGATAAAGTGCTGAGGGGCAGTGGTTTATTCGGAGGTTCAGGTAGTCATCCTATTTAGGAAGCTTTTCTCTTTTCCTAGGTGACCAGCAGGTGGCAGCAGAGCACAATGCATATTAGACTCTGTCCCCAGCACTGGGAAGGTAACAGAGATGAATCCCTGTTTGCCAGGTGTCTGCTTACCGTTTTCTGCTTTTAATGGTGTGAAAACATTAACATTTAGTAAACCATACTTCAGGCTCTGAATTTCGATCTTCTTCCAAGGTGAAGAAATGAAGTGCTACCTATGGCAGAGAGCATAACTCCCAGGCAGCAGTGACCCCAGTTAACTCAGAAATTGAGGCTTGGGTAAACTCATTTCTTTGGTCTGTCATTGGTACCCTGTCAGGGGTGAGTAGGTGTTTCAGATCTCCACTGGAAAGGGAATTTCTCATGTCTGGTATTAGGGTTTTGTTAGACAAAACTATAAAGAATTAATGAATCTAAGAGGTGGTTCTTTGAGAAGATAAACAAGATTGACAGACTCTTGGCCCAAGCAACCAAAACAAAGAGATGACTCAAGTTAATAGAACCATAAATAAACTGGGAAACATTACAATAGACACCAAAGAAATTCAAAATATTATAAGAGAATGCTTTTTAAAAAACACCTATAATCCATTAAGTTGGAAAATGTAAAATAAGTGGCCAAATTTCTAGATTTATTCAGACCACCAGAGTTAAATCAAGAAGAAATCAACAACATAAGCAGACCATAGCAAATGAGGAGATTGCAGTGGTAATAGAAAAGCCCAAGGCCAGACTCTTTATCACAAAGTTCTACTCAAATCTCAAAGATGGTTTACAGCCAATCCTTCTTAAATTACTCAAAGAAATAGAAACAGAAGGAGCACTCCCAAATTCCTTCTACAAAGCCAGTATTATCCTCATCTCCAAGCCAGGTAAAGACACAATAACAAAAGAAAGAAAACTACAGACCAATACCCCTGATGAAAATAGATTTAAAATCCTCACCAAAGTACTTGTAAACTGAACACAAGACTGTTATCAATAAAATTATCCCCCACAATCCACTTGGCTTTATCCCAGAGAGGCAGGGATAGTAAAATGTATGCAAGTCAATAAACATAATAGTTACATAAATGGACAAAAAGACAAAAGCCACTTGATTGTCTATATAGTTGAAGAATGTCTTTGACAAGATTCAATATACCTTCATCATAAAAGTCTTAGATAGCATTGAATGGAACACCCCTCAACATGATACAGGATATATATGACAAACCCACAGTCAGCTTAAATGAAGAAACACATGAAAAAACCCCATTGAAATCAGGAATGAGACAGGCTGTCTGCTTTGCCCATTTTTTTTTCAATGCCCCAAGCACTAGGTAGAGCAATAAGGAAATGAAAGGAAACTAAAGGGATACAAATAGGGGGAAAACAGTCAAACTATCTCTATTTACAGGTGATATATTATACATTAAAGGTCTCCAAAATTCTACAGGAACATTTCTAGAAATGATCGACAATTTCAGCAAAATGACAGGATGTTGAATTAACTTAGAGTAATCAAAAGTTTTTCTATTCACTTCCAACAAACATACAAAGAAGGAGATCTTGGACACTCGTATTCACAATAGCCTCAAAGGAAATAAAATGGCTGGGAAGAAACCTAACTAAAAATATTAAAGACTTCTACAAAGAAAATCTTGAATCACTGGAGAAAGAGCATGACACTAGAAAATGGAAACACTTCACATGCACATGGATTGGTAGAATTGATATTATGAAAATGACCATCCTACCAATAGCCATTTACAGATACAATGAAATCCCAGTCAAAATCTCCATCTCATTCTTCTCAGAAGTAGGAAAAGAAAAACCTTATCCTAAAACTCATATATAACCACAAAAGGCTCTGGATAGCCAGCAATACTGAGCAAAAAGAATACTGGAGGGACTGCCATTCTAAATTTTAAGATAAATTACAGAACCATAATAATTAAAACAGGATGATATTGGAAGAAAAACAAATTTGTAAACCAAATGTGGAAAACCAAAGCCCCAAACACGAGTACATGTAACTACAGCCATCCAGTATTTGAAAAATATGTTAAACACACACACTTCAATCTATTGGTCAGATATTACACAGCAACACAGAGTGTCCTATTCACATTTGGGGGTAACTCTCTTTTCCATCCTTTCACTTTAAGGTGGTACCTATCTTTCAAAGCTAAATTCTTATAGACAACAGAAGGTGGATTTCACTCCATTCAGATAGCTTGTGCCTTTTGATCAGAGAATTGAGGCCATTAATGTTTGGGGGGGGTTGTTGTTGGTTTTTTTTGTGTGTGCAACACAACAAATTGCCTTTATTTTGGTATGCATCCACATTTCAACAATTAATGGTCCTGAACAGAGTGGGGAACGTGGCCACGAGCCAGGAGGCCAGGCCCACCCATCTGAAAACTCGTGACAGAGCTCCTCCAGGTCCCTGCCAGGGGTCTGAGGACCAACAACACTGAAACCTGAGTTTGCAGGGTTAGAGCCTCTGTTCCAGCTGTCAGATTCCACATCAGACCTGATGGGTGGCCAGGGAGTCCTGTCCAAACCACTTCAGTGTGTAATAGCAAAGCGATTATGAGAAAAGGAACCGACTCAGTACCCTGTGTGCTGAGGACTCTCCTCATGGCCTTTCTCTAGGCGCAGCCACCAATGACCCTGAGCGCTGGCAGGTTTGTGGCCCCGTGACTGACTTGCTCTGTTCACCTCGAGACCTGAGCTCAAAGTGCATCAGCTGATGGTGGCATCAGGGCCCAGGTCCCGGAACCCCCTTCCCAGGCTGGTGGCAAGTGAGCGTGTGGCCAAGAGCTAAGTGAGAAGACCAGGCTCTTCCAACCTTATCTCAGGGCTCTGGCCACAGCAAGTGTGGGGTGGGGTGGGCAATGAGGGAGTTGAGGAGGAGGGGGAGAGCAGCACCCCTTGATAAAAGTGGGGAGACGGGAATCCCTGAATTCTTCACTCATGGCCAATTTCGGGGGGGGGGAGGTTACAATCTAAGCTTTGGCCAAGGGCAGGAGTAGGGGGGGGCAATGGCTTTGAGCACTTAAGACTTAAGAAAGCAGGGGTGAAGCCAAAGCACCCCCAAGCCCAACAGTAGTCCCACGGCTGCTACCTGAAGCCTTCCCATCTATTCTAAGGGCCACCACACAGCTGTGGCAGGAGGGCGAGGGCTGACACACCCAGGCCATGTGTCAGCAGCAGGTGATTGTGTGACGTGTCCGTTCACAGTTGTGTTAGCTGTGCCCACTGCTCCCAAAGGAAACTGATTTCAACACACCTTCTTGATCCCAGAAGTTCAACTAAGCAGCCAGAGGTTACCCTCGACAGATGTTACACAGCACAACTTAGGTATTTCAAATGGACAAGACATTAGTATCAGAACAGTGTCTCAGGATGAAGTCCGAGTGGAGCTTCCTCTCCAGTACTTTGAGGTCTACAAGATGAATCTAGAAAATTCACTGCTGTGGAAAATGAAGACTTAGGTTGGATTGGGGAGGGGAGGCCAAGACATTGGTGACTAATTGCTGTAACATTATCCTTCTGGCAGCTGTGGCAGTTTCATGTTCTCTTTTGACATCATCAAGCACCGAAGCTCCTGCAGGATGACTTTGATGTTATGGGAATTCTGCCACTTTGCTAGCACTGCTGTGGCCCTTGGATCCACCACTCCATTTGAACTACTCACACCGCTCATATTGACTTTTGTTACAAATCTTACAGATGGGGGTGCTTCCGGATATTTAGGCCCACATTCTATTTTAAGGCTGTATATTCGGTTTTCATAAATTGTCCAAGCCTTTGGTGGCTGCCATCTTGCGTCGCTGTCGCTCAAAGGCCGAGGCCATTAATGTTTTAAGTTATTATTTAAAGGTATGTGCTAGTTGCAGTAATTTTGTTCGGTTTTCTTTTTCCTGTTTGCATTCTTAGCCAGATTTTGTGTTTCAATAATTACAGCTTCATTTTTTTCTTTTTATAGTCATGTGGCTGTGTTTATTCATATCTTGAGTCCACAGTATTTGCTTCCAATATTCTCACTAGGGTTTTTCTGATGGATATGAATTCTTTTAGCCTGTTTAGAGGATGGACATTTTTTTCTTTCTCCTTCCACTGTGACAGATAGTTTTGCTGGGTGCAGTAGTTTTGCAGCCATGGTCTTTGAGGACATTGCTTCAGGTGCTTCTGACTTTTATAGCTTCCACTGAGAAAAGAGCTGTTATTCCGATGAGTTTTCCTTTATATGAGAATTATTTTGTTTTTCTCTGGCACTTTGTGAAAATTTTTCTATGTTTTAACTATGGAATGCTATGAGGAGTTTCTTTTCTTACTTTGTGTGTTTGGAAACCTGTGTGCTTCTTATCTGTATGGCTATATCTTTCCTCTATGATCTTGTAGAAGATCTGGTCTATGCCATTGGTCTGGGATTCTTCTCTCTCATCTGTGCCTATAACTTGAAAATTTGGTCTTTTCATGGTGTCCAATACTTCCTGGATGTTGCTTTTTAGTGCTTTTTAATTTTTTCATATTCTTTGCTTATTTAATCTAATTCCTCTGCTTTATTTCAAGTGCTGATAGTCTGTCTTCGACTTGATTCATCCTACTTGTAAGGTATTCTCTTGAGTTTTCTATTAGGGTTACTGATTTTTTTTTTATTCTATCTTCATGTCAGCTTGAGATCTCCTCAGTATTTCTACATCTTTATTAAAGTCAGCTTACAAATCCCTTTGTAATTTCATTCAGCCTTGCATTTGTATTTTCTTGGGCATCCCTTTGGTGTTTATTCTCTTAAAATTCATTGAGATGTTTATTTGTGTCTTCTTTAAATTCCCTGAATTCTTTGGAGTTTATGATTGTTCCTTTAAATTCTTGTGCCTTATGGTTCATCTAGATAATTCTCACTGGAGAACGTTTCTATAGGACTGGTGAGTTTGCGGGTAGGAGACAGGAATAATGTCTTGATCTTTTGTGCTCTTTATATTTTTGTGATGAGACATAGGCATATAGACTTTAAGTTATGTATCTAATTTAGACATACCAAAACATGTGCAGTCTGGGTTGGGTCTGAAGTGGGATACAATGTGGGTAAGATGAAGTCAGGTGGACACAGGGGGCTAGCTGGTGGTCGGGATGTCTGTCCAAGCCTGGAGGTTGGGATCAGGGTGGGCAGGGCTGATCAAACTAGACTGGGATGTGGGATGTGGGGCTCAAGCTAGATCTGGTGACTGGAGAGAGTACATGGAAGGGATGATGTGGTGGACTTCCCATGGTACATGTTGGCACACAAGATGCTTGGGCAAGACTGAACTTGGAAATTGAGTGTGTCTGTCATAGGAGGGATGAAATCAGGTGGTAGGAGTAGGGTGGTGAGCAGGGTGTATCTTGATCAAAACCTGGATGTGGGTGTATGTGGGTAAGGTTGCCAGACTAGGCAAGGGACCAGTTTCGGAAGTGGGACTCGATCTGGAGATTGGGGATGATATATGGAGGAAGGGACCACTCAGAATCACCCTTCCAGTTACTAATGCCTGGAACTGTGAATGGGTGGGTCATTTGATGATGCGTGTCAACTTTATAAGAAACTGCCAGGCTGTCTTCTAAACTCCAGTTTCTCCATGAGACCAGCAAAGTCATACAACTCAGTAACTATCCCCTCCTATCCAATCTTCTCCAGAACATTGCACTGAGAGTTGTTGTTTTTCTTTTAAGGAGGTTTTTAGAGATGTGCATTGCCTTCATGCTTCAACTTTAGTTATTCTGAATCTGTTCTCATGTGGTAAAGTGTCTGTTCAGACTAGTTTGTTTCTTAGTGAGTTACACGTTCTCTGTATGCTTGATGCCGTCCTCAGTTGCAAATGTTATTTTTGTTTGTTTGTTTTTGTTTTTCAAGACTGGTTTCCTCTGTAGATTTGGAACCTGACATAGAACTTGCTCTGTAGAACAGGCTGGCCTCAAACTCACAGAGATACAGATATCTGCCTGCCTCTGACTCATGAGTGCTGGCATTAAAGGTGTGCACCACCACAGCCTGGCTCAAATGTCATTTTCAAGTGTTTATTTGTTTGTTTTTCAAGACAGAGTTTTTCTGTGTTGTCCTGATTATCCTGGAACACACTCAGTACTCCAGGCTGGCCTTGACCTCAGAGATTCGCCTGCGTCTGCCTCCTGAGTGGTGGGATTGAAGGTGTGTGCCACACACCCCCATGCCCACCGGCCAGGATTTCTTTAAATACATCTTTTTTAAGGCAAAATTTTTAATCTGAAGTCCAGTTTATCAAGTTTTCTCTTATAAGTAATTTTTTTATATTACATCTAATGCTCTTTGTCAAACCCATCATACTACAAGTTTGCTTTTATGGTGTCTTATAGTTTATGGTTTTGCCTTTAGTTTTTTTATTCATGTGGGGTTAAATGAGGGATTAGGTGAGTTTATACTCAAATGTATGAACTTTCCAGCGTCATTTGGTGGAAATACAACCATTTTACTATTGCAGCATTAGACTCTCTGTCCAAAACACAATAGGCATGTTTGAATTTATTTCAAGCTTTCGTTTTTATTCCATTGCTAAGTGCATCAGTCCTTTTGGTATTCTCTTGCTGCCTTAGTTATTGTGACTAGTTATTGCTGACTTAGTTATTGCAATAAACCAGGAAATCTGCAGTGGATGCTCTCCAAATTTGCCTTTCTTTTCAAAGTTGTGCTGTTTATTTTAGACCTACGGCACTTTTTATGTATTTCAGAATTAGCTTCTTGAACATTCTGAAGCACTCAGTGGAAGTTTTGATGGTTGAAGCTGCCTCTTCTCTCTGCTGCAAATGGAACTGGACAATCTTTTTCACATGTTGCAGTTGGCTCTGAGTCTTTCGCCCACCAGAGGGTGGCGAAGCTCAGGCTATGGTAAACTGATCTCTGTGGTTGCAGGATTCCTTTCTCTCTGAATTTGTTCATGGATTTCTGAGGTTCTTCCTCTGGTTCTCTCTTTGGGATAAAGCTTGGTTTCTGTGCATTTTATTTTTGCTCTTGTTTTCTTTATTTTAGCTTTTTCCTTCATGGGCTCACACAAAGGAAGTCTCTGCTCTCTCAACTTACGTGAAACAACTTCTGGGTAGATACAGAACTACTTGAGCTTTCTATTTATTCTTTCATTCTTTTTCTTCTCCTTTTTTTGTTTTTTGTTTTTGTTTGTTTTTTGAGACAGGGCTTTCCTATGTAGCCCTCACTGTCTTAAAAGTCCTTCTGTAGACCAGGCTTGCCTGGAATTCAGATCTGCTGTCTCTGCCTCCCTAGTTCTGGGATTAAAGGTGTGCACCACTACTGCCCTGCCCGGAATCTCGGGGACTTGTGTGGAGGCTGGCTCTGCAGAATAGCCAAAAGATTACCAATCTGTAAACAAACAGCAGCAAAGCCAGCCATCTGGGTGTAACAAGAATAAATTCCTTCTATTGAAGAGAAAAGCCTGCATGTTTAGGGTTTCTGGCTTTTCTGGTGCTTATGTATAAACACATAAACCTCTTGCCCTCTACAGTTCTGTGTATAAGTTCTTTATTTAATCTCTCAAAATAAATAGTTAGACTTAGCATTTAAGATTTCAAAATACACAGAGGCCAGGCGTTGGTGGCGCACGCCTTTAATCCCAGCACTCGGGAGGCAGAGGCAGATGGATCTCTGTGAGTTTGAGACCAGCGTGGTCTACAAGAGCTAGTTCCAGGACAGTCTCCAAAGCCACAGAGAAACCCTATCTCGAAAAACCAAAAAAAAAAGATTTCAAAACCCACCATTAAGTGACAAAAAATTACCTTTGATGGTAACAAGAATACAGCTTGAGGTGGGATTGCAGTAGATCCCAGGGCAGGCGATGAACAAACCCGCCATCAGGCAGAGCTTACATAGGAAGGAAGTTTTATTGGGGGACCAGGAAGGGAGTGGAGAAAGGGAAGGGAAGGGGAGAGAGGAAAGAGGAAGGGGGGGAGTGGGAGATGGAGGGAGAGGGAGAGAGGGAGAGGGAAAGTCCTGCCTGCCTCTTCAAAGGAGCAGCCCAGGAAAGAGAGAGCAGAAGTGGGTGGGGTTTTCACCTCAAAGGTCCAGGATGCATATGTCTGCTGTATGCAGAAGGGTGGCAAGAGCTGCATCAGATTCCCAAGGGCCAGAGCCAGGTTTGCTTGGATTGAAACCAAGAGAGCAAGGATGGAAGGATGGAGTGTCTGGATTCATTCTTTCAGGCAATGATCTGTTAGCCCACACCTAGCTTGCTGTCTCCTAAGTAAACCACATTCCAACACTGAGTTGTTCCAGAGCGCTGAAGGAAGCACTAGTGATAACAGAGCTTATAAACTGCATCCTGGATGAGCCATCAGGCAGAGCTTACAGAGGAAGGAAGTTTTATTGGGGGACCAGGAAGGGAGTGGAGATGATGAGCCTGGATGAGCCGTTCCTTCCATTTTGAAATTTCCACATTTAAGTCAAACCACACAAAGCTAAATCTTAGGTTTAACCAAACTTTCATAAATATAACAGTGTCAATGGCTACAGTTTTCAATTTGTAATTGCCCTCCATATGTCTTTCCTTCAAGATGCTTCTCTTCAATTAGATCTCATTTTCTTACCCATCATTATAATTTATTGGTATTTAAAACATTACATGTCAGCTGGGCGGTGGTGGCGCACGCCTTTAATCCCAGCACTCGGGAGGCAGAGGGGGGGAGTGGGAGATGGAGGGAGAGGGAGAGAGGGAGAGGGAAAGTCCTGCCTGCCTCTTCAAAGGAGCAGCCCAGGAAAGAGAGAGCAGAAGTGGGTGGGGTTTTCACCTCAAAGGTCCAGGATGCATATGTCTGC